GGTGGTAGAGATGGAGGGGGTGGTGGTGGTGGTGGAGGTGGTCGTGGTGGAGGTGGTGGTATGGTGGTGGTGGTCGTCGTGTTTGTGGTGGTGGTGGTGGTGGTGGTGGTGGTGGTGGCGGAGTTGGTGGTGGGCAGGTGGTGGTGGTGGAGGTGAAGGTGGTAGATGTAGTGGTGTTCGAGTTGGATGTGGTGGTGGTGGAGGTGGTGGTAGTGAGGTGGTGGATGTGGTGGTGGTTGCGGTGGAGGTGGTGGTCGTGGAGCTGGAGGTGGTGGTGGTGGTGGAGATGGTGGTGGTAGAGGTGGAGTTGGTGGTGATGGAGCTTGTGGAGTTGGTGGTGATGGAGCTGGAGGTGGTGTTGTTGCTGGAGGTGGTGGTGGTGGAGGTGGTGTTGGTGCTGGAGGTGGTGGTGGTGGAGGTGGTGGTGGTGGAGGTGGTGGTGGTGGAGGTGGTGGAGGTACCGGTGGTAGAGGTGTTGGTGGTGGAGTTGGTGTTGTAGTTGTTGGAGGTGGTGGTCGAGGTGGTGGAGATGGTGGTGTTGGAGTTGGTGTTTGTGGAGGTTCAGGTTGTGGATGTGGTGGTGTAGGTGGAGTTGGTGGTGGAGTTGGTGTCGGTGGACGTGTTGGTGGTTGAGGTGGAGGTGGAGGTAGTGGTGGTGGCAGCAGCAGCGGTGGTGGAGTTGGCGGAGGTGGAGATGGTAATGGTATATGTGGCAGTAGCAGATGTTGTGGAGATGATGGTAGTTGAGATGGTTGTGGTGGTGGTGGTGAAGTTGGAGGTGGTGTTGGAGGTGGCGGTGGTCGAGGTGGTGTTGGTGTTGTCAGAGGTGGTGGAGGTGGTGGTGGTGGAGGTGATGGTGGTGGTGGTTTTGGAGGTGGAGGTGGTGGTGGAGGTGGAGGTGTTGGTGGTGGAGGTGGAGGTGTTGGTGGTGGAGGTGGAGGTGGTGGAAGTGGAGGTGGTTGTGTTGCTGGTAGATGTAGTGGTGAAGGAGGTGGTGGTGATGGTTGTTGCCGAGGTGGAGGTGAAGGTGGTTGTGGCGGTGGTGGAGGTGGTGCTGATGGTTGTGGAGTTGGTGTTGGCGGAGATGGTGGAGGTAGTGGTGGTGGAGGTGGAGGTGGTCATGGTGGAGGTGGAGTTGGAGGTTGTGGTGGTGGAGGTGGAGGTGGAGGTGGTCGTGGTGGAGGTGGAGGTGGAGGTTGTGGTGGTGGAGGTGGAGTTGGTGGTGGAGTTGGTGGTGGTTGTGTTTGAGTTGGAAGTGGTGGAGGTGGCGGTGTCAGACATGGTGCAGGTGGTAGAGGTGGAGGTGGTGTTGGTGGAGGTTGCGGTGGCAGAGGTGGTGGAGGTAGTGTTGGTGGAGTTGGTTGTGGTGATCCTTGTGGATTGGTGGTGGTGGTGGTGGAGGTCGAGGTGGCTATGATGGAGGTGGTGGTGGTGTTCACAGAGGAGGTTCAGGTGGTGGTGGTGCAGGTGGCGGTGGCTGATGTGATAGTAGTGGTGGTGGTGATGTTGGTGGATTTGGAGGTGGTGATGGTTGAGGTGGTGTTTGCCAAGATGGTGGAGGTGGGTGTGTTGGTGGAAGTGTTGCTGGTGGTGGTGGTGGAGGTGGTGGTGGAGGTTGAGGTGGCATTGGTGGAGGTGGTGGTAGTGTTGGCAGAGGTGGGAGAGGTGGTGGTAGTTGAGGTGATGGTTTTGGAGGTGGTGGAGGTGGTGGTGATAGAGGTGTAGGTGGTAGTGGTAGAGGTCGTGGTAGTGGAGGTCGTGTTAGTGGAGGTTGCGGTGGTGGAGGTGGTGGAGGTGGAAGTGGTGGAGGTGGAGGTCGTGCCCGTGTTGGTGGTTGAGGTGGTGGTGGTGGAGGTGTGGTGTTGGAGATGGAGGTGTTGGATGTGGCAGTTGCAGATGTGGTGTAGGTGGTGAAGGTGGAGGTGGTAGTTATGGAGGTGGCGGTGTTGGATGTGGTGGTGGTGTTGGCAGAGGTGAGTAGGTGGTGGGTGTGGAGTTGGTGGTGGTGGAGATGTTGGAGTTAGCTGTGGTGGAGGTGGAAGTGGTAGTGGTGGAGTTGGAGGTGGAGGTTGTGGTGGTGGAGGTTGAGGTGTTGGTGGTGGAGGTGGTGGAGGTGTTGGAGCTGGTGGTGGTGGTGGTGGAGGTAGAGTTGGTGGAGGTGGTGGTAGGGGAGGTGGTGAGGTGGTGGTGTTGGAGGTGGTGGAGGTGGTGGAGGTGGTGGTGGTGGTGCACGTTGTGGTTGTGGTGGTAGCGGTGGTGGTGGTGGCGGTGGTGGAGGTGTTGGCGCTGGTGATCGTGGAGGTGGTTGAGGTGTTATTCGTGGTGCTGGAGGTGGAGTTGTAGGAGGTGGTGGTCGATGTGGTCGTGGTAAAAGTGGAGGTTGAGGTGGTGGAGGTGGAGTTGGTCGTAGTGGTGGTGAGGAGGTGGTGGTGGTGGAGGTGGCACTGCTGGAGGTGGCGGTGGTTGCGGTGGTGGAGGTGGAGGTGGTAGACGTCTAGGT